ATTGTTTTTCAGTTTGTTCGACTCTTCGTGACCCCATTTGGGTTTTCTTGGCAAAGATGCTGGAGTGGTTTGCTATTTTCTTCCATCTCATTTTACAGATGAGAAACTGAGGCAAACAGGGTTAAGTGACCTGCCCAGGGTCACACTGCTAGTGAGTGTCTGAGGACAGTTTTGAACTCTAGAAGATGTTCTTGACTTCAGGCCCCAAACTCTTATCTACTGTGCCAGCAAGTTGCCTTAAAAGCAGAGTTACACTTACTAAAATGTGGAACTTCAAACTGGATGCTTAAGGTTCAGTTGCATATATTGTTTCGTTTTAAACAATGTTTACATACAAGATAATCTTGTAAGACTCTCTTCAGTTATGCCTTTCTTCTCTTCTATCACCTGCACCAGCTACAATCTCACAGAAACTCTGCTAACGACTGACCAATGTTGCCAACCAGTTACTTTGAAAATCTGCCAGGTAGGGGCAGTTAGGTGGTGCAGTGGATAGAGCACCAGCCCTGAAGTCAGGAGGAGCTGAGTTCAAATCTGGCCTCAGACCAAACACTTGACACGTACTAGCTGTGTGACCTTGGTCAAGTCACTTAACCCCAATTGCCTCACCAAAAAAAAAAAAAAAAAGAAAATCTGCCAGATAGAAGACCAGTAGCATAAGGAGAGAATAAGTTTAAATCAGAAAACAAATGATATTTTAATGAGAAGCAATATAACATTTGTTTCTGCAGAATGTGTGTAATGGTCTATGATGATTTTAGGAAGGCTTATAATGCACATGTCCAGAATTGTGGTTTTCAAAGAGTCTTTCTTTGTGCTGCAAGAATGCAAACATTAATAATGTCTTGATCGTGTGCTTATAAAGCTGATAAAGTATGATTACAGGCTACCAGTTGGGGAACAAAGGAACTGCTCTGGTGCAGTGTAAGTAATGCAAAGAGGTTAGACACATGCATAAGCATCTATTGGAAACTGGTTTGCAGCAGAATGTTGAACCCCTGTGACAATTTGGAAACAATTTGATGACAGGCTGAGAAACTACAAGAACACAGAAGTGAGTCACTACACAAATACCAGAATCTCAAATTCATTGTGTACATGATTATGATGATTTTGCAGCAGAAACAAAGTTATAATGCTTCAAATGTACACATGCTTGTTGTCAGAGAGGAACTACACACACACACACACTCACACACACACATATTTAACATAATTGGGCAATTATTTACTGCTGAGGGTGTTATTAAAGAATTTTTACCTTGAAAATCCCTTGGACTTTCTTCCCAAACCCCCCAAATATTCTCAAGCCATTAAGGGAACCACTGGTCTGTACTTTTGTCCAAGTCACTACAAATTTTTTAAACAGAATAGAGCCAAGGATGGAATCCTGGGGCACTTCACTAGAGACCTTTTAAGTTGACATGAACCATTAATCAATCAATTAAGAAGCATTTATTAAATGCATACTCCTACGTTTCTACCACTGGGTGGTGGAGTAGATAAAGCATTGGACCTAGGGTCAGGAAGACCTGTATTCAAATGCAGCCTCAGATACTAACTATGTGCCTGTGGGCAAGTCACTTAACCTCTGTCTGCTTTAATTTCCTCATCTATAAAATGGGGATAATTATAGTATCTTCTTCCCAAGGTTTTTTGAAGATAAAATGAGATAATATTTGTGAAGCACCTTGCAAGCAAGCCTAAAAGCACTATATAAATGTTCACTATCATCATTATTACTTATTCTTTGCATTAACAAAAGGGAGGAGTAGGAAGATCTTAACTGGAGGTACATCCTGAGGCTCTGTCCTGACTCCTCTTCTGTACCCTTTCTCTATATTCTCTCTATTTTTCCCTAAAATAGGATTACCCTTTAAGAAATGAAATACATGTTTTAACAATTCATTATTTAATATTTATAAATTGTTTAATGCAATTACATAATAAATGTTTATAAAAGAAAGAGAAGTCATTGAAGTGCAGTTGGCAAAGTAGCCGAAAGAAGGGTTAGGGATTGAGAAGTAGCTCAGGCTCTGTTAGTCAGTCAATTAATGAACATTTATTAAGCATCTACTATGTGTCAGGCACTGTGCTAAGCTCTGGGGAAAGGCAAAAGACAATCCCTGCTCTCAAGGAGCTCACAGTCTAATGGGAGAGACAAAATGCAAACAAGCATGTACAAACAAGCTTATTGACAGGATAAATTAGAAAGAACTAGAAGAGGAAAGGCACAAGAACGAAGGGGGATCAGGAAGGACTTCCTGTAGAAGGTGGGGTTTTAGGAGTCCATGGAATGTAGAAGGCAGAGAGGAGTTTCTGCCCCTGTAACTTTCTGTCACTTGAGGTAAATGGTTTTCCACATCAGAATTCTGACCTCTAAAAGGAGTCAAGGAAATGAAACAAAACTCTTAGGAAATACCACATATCCTGACCTCAAAAGATCTCCCAGGCTAACTAATTTGTACAAAAATGACTCCAGTAAGCAGCACTGAAAAAACCTGGCTTTCACCTTATGAGGCATTCACAGATCTAAGAGTGATGTGACACTAAATGACAGAAGGGAAAGTGGATGATGATGATCTGGGTTGACTACAAATTAAGGAACTAGGACAAGATGCAATTGAGAATACTTAGGTGTATAAACCATGTCATGTATTAGACTTGATCAAGGATTTGCTACAGAAGGCACTAGATTGGAATGTGAAGACTGAATGGCATTAGATAAAGCTTGGTAGGTAACATACAGTTGCACCTATGATTTAATTTTGGATTGGCTTCCAAGATAGTAAATAATAATAGCTCACATTTACATAGTACTTTAGGATTTGTAAAGCACTTTCCACACATTTTCTCATTTGACCTGCTACTATCATCCCTGTTTTACAGATGCAGAAAGTGAGATTCAGAAAAATTATGCGATTTGTCAGTGTTCCTATACTCTATTACTTGTTGTGTCTTTGGCTCGGGTTCTATGATTATTTTTATGCATGTTATTCTCTATCCTATGCTCTAATCCCACACTCAAAATTACCTATTGAACATTCTGAACCATATGTCCTGTAGACATCTCAAACCTGAAACAAAACTCATTATTTTTTAGGGAAGCAGCTAGGTGGCGTAGTGGGTAGTGATGGGTCTGGAGTCAGGAAGAACTGGTTCAAATATAGCCTCAAACACTAGCTGTGTGACCCTGGGCAACTTCTTAACTTCTGTTTATTTGGTTTTCTCAACTGTAAAATGAGCATAAGACTACCTTACAGGGTTGTTGTGAGGATCAAATGAGATAATATATATAAAGTGCTTGGCATATAGTAGGTGCTATATAAATGCTCCCTTCCTTGCCTTCCCTTTTCCTCCAAAGCTACCATTCTTCCAAACTTAACCATTTCAGTTGAAGGCACCACCATCCTTCCAGTTGCGCCAGTACACAGCTGTAGAGCCATCCTCCATTGCTTACTATGCCTCACCCTACACGTCCAATCATTTGCCAAGTCTTGTTAATTCTACCTCTATACCCCTTGCATCTCAGTCAGACACCACTCTGGTTCAGTCATTCATTGCCTGTCATCTGGACTAATGCAATGACTTCTTCTTTGGTCCTCTTTCCAATCCATCCTTCACACAACTCCCCAAATGGTATTTCCTAAAGCATGAGTCTGACTGTCACTCTCCCGCTCAATAAACTCCAGTGGCTCCCGAGTAGCAGTACTATCAATTTTTTAGTTCTAAAGGCCTGGTTGATCCAGCTGTAACCTACCTTATACATTACTCCACTCAACACCCTCTTCATTCTGTCCAGCCATATTGGCTTTCTTGCTGTTTTCCACATGTGACACTTTATCTCCTATCTCCATGCCTTTGTCCTAGCCATTTACCATGCCTCAAATGCACCCACTCCCCACCTCCACCTCTTAGAATCCCTACTTTCTTTTGAAGCTCAGCTCAAACCCCATCTTCTACATGAGACTGTTTATGATCCCCCTCACTCCTGCTGCTTCCCCTCTCCACCTGTCTTGTGTTTGCTCTGCACATATTTTAGATATTTGTACCTGTTGTCTCCGTCAATAGAAACAAAACTCCTCAAGACCAGGAACTGTTTCATTTTTGCCTCTAGATTTTTCAGTGTCTTTATAGTGCTTGGCATATGCCACAGTAGGTGCTTAATAAATGCTTTTTTGATCAATTAATGGATCAATGTAGGGTTTCTGGAGCCTTTCCCTGGAGGGGTGGGGGTAAGACCTACTGCTAAGAAAATTCCAAGGCTCCCTCTACTTTCTCTCCTACCTAGAAGAACAGTTGTTCAGGGGCAGCTAGGTGGTACAGTGGATAGAGAACCAGCCCTGGAGTCAGGAGGACCTGAGTTCAAATCTGGCCTCAGACACATAACATTTACTAGCTGTGTGACTCAGGGCAAGTCACTTAACCCCAATTGCCTCATATTAAAAAAGAAGAAGAAGAAGAACAGCTGTTTAGGCCACCCTAGAAAGGCTTGAAAGGGACTCCTCAAGTTAACTTAGCCAGTTGTCTGGGCCGCTAGACTGTATAGAAGGATCCCTACAGGCCACAGATTGACTTAAAAAAACACATTAACATTATTTATGTTTTATTGTATTTTTATTTCTTTTTGTTAAATATTTCTCAATTACATTTTAATCTTGTTCAGTCTGTACTTGGGAGTGCTGTGGACCACATACAGCTTCCTGTGTATTTAACACCTCTTGTCTACCTCTATCTTAGAAGGGTCAGGATCCTGCATTCTCATTGAATCATAGATCGAGAGGTGGAGGATACTTTAGAGGTCACCTAGTCCAACCCCCTCCTCCTACAGATGAGCAAACTAGAAGTTAAGTGACTTGCTCAAGGTCTCACAGTTCTTAAAGCAATAGAGCTAGGATTGAAACCCAGATGCTTTTACTTTAAATCAAGAATTCTTTCCATGACACCACACTGTTTCTGTTGCCCCAGGAATCACCTCATTGTTTTCATGTCTTCTTCAGGTATCAGGGTCATGTTCCAAATGTGGCCTTCTCCTTTGGGGACACCTATGGCAATGCCACCTATAAGTATTTCCAAGATTGCCGAAATTCAGCCACGTATACCAGCTATAGTCCCTATGGGAAAAGTGGCCAGTTCCCAACACTTTTCTCTCGAAATCCCAACCTGGCTCTGGGTTACCGCTCCCGTGCCTGGGACCGCTGGCTGCATACACCCACCTACACTCGCTATAACCTTGACTGCAACAGATCCGCAGAGCTCAAGCAATTCTACCAGGTGAGTTGGGAATCCATTCAGGGAGGAAGGTGTGGCTACTAGTACCCCAAAAGGGCACTGGGTTTGGAGATAGAAGACCTGGGCTTGAATTCTGGCTCTGAGTGACTTTATTCAAGTAACTTCACCAACTCTGGGCCTCAGTTTCCTCATGAGCAAAATGAGGAGAGTAGACCAGATAGCTTCTAAGGCAGGCCCCCTTCCATCTCTCAGTTTATGGTCCTATGAACTCCCAGCCTGACTGGGGTGAATTCTGCTCTACATTGTGGTGACTGGGAGAAGGAACTCATTTCCTCAGAGTTATCCTTTGAGGTTCCAGATGCTTCTGAATCTGTGAGCCTAGACTGGGTCTAGTAGCCTGGCAGGGTGCGAGGGATCAGTGGGAAGAGGGCTGAGGAGTTGTGTTTTCCATCTTCCTTCATTGCCTCCCTAAAGAACCTTAATAGCTCCCCAGAGGCGGCGAGAAACTTCTTCCTGGGGGGGGTCTAAGGCCCCTGTAATGGCCTGTTGAATGGTATATTTCCTCTGCTGACATGATAAGGTATGGATGGGGTCATTCTGGAGTTCAGAAACATCCCCTGAGTGGTCATACTTTCTATCTATTGTCCATTAACCTCTTGTCTCCAAACTGGACAAAATAGGGCCTACTCTTGGTGAGTTTGCTGGCATAGGCTTTATTGAAGGACTCATGGAAACAGAGAAAAGTATGTAAGTCAATAGAGGGACCTAAGCAATCAGAACTAAGCCCCCTGGCCTCAGGTATGTCTCACCCTTAAAGAACATGGCATTTGCTATAATCAAATCAGGGCTTCTGGTATAGTAGAAAAGCCCACCCCTTTAGGCAGGTGGGAAGTGGTTTAAAGGTCTCTAGGGTAAAGGATCACATATGAAGACACGTGACTTGAGCTCTGCCCAGCCCTGGTGGTATTCACCCTATAGTCTTATTTTCTCTACTGGAGTCATATACCAGGCATATTCCCAGGGCTGGGGTGGTTCATGCAGGCCCCAATAAAGTGGCTTGGACCTGCTTCCGAAACCCCTCTGCATTCCTCAGGCCAAGAAGACCCAAACTGCCAGGATTCTTACAAATAGAAATTCAACTTCAAGAGATCCAGGTGAATGCTGCCTTATGCAAATTCTAGTTCAATTCTGATCCAATCCCAGGTCTACCCTGGGAGGTAGATCTCTACCCTTGATTATCGCTAGAGAATCCTTGATAATAAGCTACACATTGAGGTGACCTCAGGAATCCTGGTGCAAACCGGAACCCTAGGTCCACCTGAAAATAGGCCTGAACTCCCAGCTTGACGATGGAACTGACCTGATCTTCTTGCAGACTTGGAAGACCTAAGGACAATCTGGCCTTCCTGAGGACTATCTGGATAAGGTTTCTTGGTTCTGGCCTGGCCAAGGCCTCAAATTTGAGGACTAGGCTAGAATTGAACTCTTCTCCATGGGAAAGACATTGAGGGTGTTCATCATCCAATAAGCTCTCCCAGTTCCAGAGTAACATTGGAAGTTCAGGCCTCATGTAGATGGGATTTGGGACTCAGATATGAACCAAGACCCCTGAATTCCCTTCAGAAACTGTCCTGGTCTATCAGAGACCCTCTTAATTAGGGATGGCTGAATTCTAGAATTTGGCTATGACAACCCACACATTTGTTTCCTGTTACTTTCCTTGTTCTTAAGTCCTTACCCTAAGTTCCCATTAGCTAAGGGCCTCCAATATGTCCCCCTGCCCCCACATATCATAGTTAATGTGAATTCTATAGAAAGGACCAATCAATCCATCACTGTGGAACAAGAAGGCCCTGGGTTGGAGAATACAGCTAGTGTACACACTAGGGTCTCCACCTGCTATCCTAAGGGAAGGATACTTCAGAAACTCCTGTACTTTCTTCTCTGCCCATGAACAGTCCTCTCAACCAAGGCAACAATAATGTATATACTTATGTCTCTCCTATTCCCTGGAGAATAATATTCTTTGAGTTGAAGGGGAGGGGATGGCCACCTAAATTAACTCTGTATAAGGGTCAGTTTGGGGCCATTACTATCAGAAATTCCCCAAAACAGAATGCTGGTGCAGTGGATAGAGCACTGGCCCTGGATTCAGAAGGACCTGAGTTCAAATCTGGCCCCAGACACGTAACACTTATTAGCTGTGTGACCCTGGGCAAGTCACTTAAACCCATTGCCTAGCAAAAAATAAATAAATAAATAAAATAAATGCACCTGAAGTAGGATGACGGTGACCAGGAAGGAAGCTCCCTTGGGAAATACCTTGCCTTTCTCCAGACTTAGGTCCAGATGATTCTCAGTTCAGAAAGATGTTGACATATGCCATCTAAGGACACCAAAGAGTATGTATGGTGGGACCTCTGGGTGAGGATCCTCCAGGCACAGGGGCACAGAGACATGAGTGCCTGTAGGCCATGCCTGCCCATTGATTGACCCCTCTGCCACCACCTTCCTTGGTTTGAGCTATAGCTGGTACAGATGCACCGAGAACATTACCGAGACAAGACTGGCACCGTGAACTGGGTCCCTTACTTTGTGCTGCCTGTGAAGGAGAAGGATCGTTATCCTCTGCCTACTGATCTGTGAGTACCACTCCTCTCCAGCCTACCCCACCCCACTCATTCCATCTAAGATGCTTCTTGAGGGCACTCTGTCCCACAGCTCTTAGGGACAGGAAATGAAGCTGAGAGATAGAGAAGGTTCAGGATAAAGGCAGGAGGTTTTAGACCTTCAGGGGAAGAGAGTCTGATGGATATTCAAGAGAGGAGTTCAGGCTTCCTGAGTTTCTCTGATGCCATGGGACAAGAAGGTCTATGTTTCTGTCCCTCCAAAGTACTCTAAGTCACAGATCTTACTAACTAGTGCTGGTGGAGGGCAGCATCTACAGGAAGCCTTATAGAGGGCAATGTCCAAGATTTTTCTTCTCTTAAATATATATATATATAATATATATATATATATATTATTGATGCTTTTTAAAACATCCTTACCACTTCTGAATGTCTTCCCACTCATCCACCCACCCACAGCCACCCATACGTATGTATGCACTAACATGCATACACACACACACACACACACACACACATTCACACACCCCTATAGAACCCTCTCATAATGAACAAACTGGCTGTATCTAATGTCTGCCTTATTCTTTACTCACAAGCAGCCACCTTTCTGTTGAGGGGACAGAGGCAAGCTTCATAGCCAAAAACATTTATTAAAGACCTACAGTTTATATAGCACTGAAGTGCTGGGGGAGATGTAACATTTATATTAAACAGATCCCTGCCCTCACCAACTTTATAGTCTAATGAATACAGTACCCCTATTGCCCTACATCTCCTAGGCCCCTACAGAATGTGTTGGGAGCTTTGCTGCAAAGCAAAGCTTTTCTCATAGACCCTATGACCCAGAGCTATGATTTCAAAGTTATGGTGAGCTTTACAAGAAATTCCCTGTACCGATGCAGACGAGCACCTTCCAGATAGTTTATAGTCTTAGCAAGTTGTCTGAGTGCACTGTGGGTTTGAGTAACATGCCCAGGGACATCCAGCGACTATAGTGTCCTAGCCTCTGACACTGTGTCGGGGTGGGGGGGGTCCTTGCCTACTCTCTGCCCTGGGCTAACCCTCACTCTCATACCTCCTACTATTTCTGGTTCTGCTTTTCCTGAAGTTTGGAAGCAGTTGAGACAACTGATCCTCAGCCTTGGACTATGGGGAGGGAAGCCTTTGTCTATGTCCTCTGGCCTGGGTCAGGTCTGGCTTCTCTATTGCTCTCAGTTGGCCTCCTATCTTCAGAACACTTCTGTCTTTATGGAACTTCTTTCCCAATCCATAGCCTTCCAGGAACTCCTTTTCTAAGCTCTGCTCTTTTTGCTGGGAGGGGTCTGCTTCCCTCTGCCAAACTTGACTCAATTAGGAAAAGTTACGTCAGAGGTAAGATCATGATGCACAAACGAGTAATTACAATGCAAAATGATACATGATGAAGGCATAAAAGACACCCAGATTGCTGCTAAAGTAGCTTTTAGTTGGGGCAAATTCATGGTGAGTGAGGCCAGAAGGTGGTGATGGAAATGAGTGAGTCAGGGAAGGTGTGGTAGAGTTGGGCTTGAAAGGATAGGTTGAGATTTAAGAGGAAAGGGGACTGATAGGGGGTAAGGCTGGATGATGACATGTCTCCCTAGGCTAATTGAGTCCTTCTGGGAATGGTTGAGTCAACCTCTGTTCAAGATGGGTTCAGGTCAGGATCAGGGGTTCTTAATCTGGGGCTCAGTCTTCTTCCACACCACTGGACTCTTCTGGACTTGCCTGGCAGATGTAGGGGAAAGAGCCCTGTTCTTGGAGTCAGGAGAGTTGGGTCTGAATAAGCTGTTCCATCAGCTATGTGACATCAGACAAGATATTTTTCCTCATTGGGTCTCAACTTCCTCAGTCATAATGTGAAGGGATTGGCTTAGATGACCTTTAAGATCCTTCTCAGCTGGAAAACACTGAGTCCATGGCTCTCAACTTCTCCCTCAGTATTCTCCCACTCCCAGCTTCAAGGAATCAGGCAATGGTGGTAGTCAGATGCATAGACCTTGATAGCAAATGACTCACTGGGCAAGCCAAGGAGATGAAAACATCTCATTCAATGATCTAAGTCCCCTCCTGGGAACAGATTTTCTTATGTTTCTCTTCTTTGCTTCTCCTAAGGCCAAAGAGGGGAGATGTGGAGAGGGTGAGGCTGACCTAGGTTAAAAAGAAACAAACAGTATTTACAACTAAAAAGAACCTTAAAGCTTATCTAGTTCAACCTCCCTCCTCCACCACCTCCAATTTTGCTGGTGAGGGGATGAGGCCTAGAGAGGGAGAATGATTGGTTAAGATTATCCACGATTTGAACCCAGATCCTCTGACTCAAAATCCAGGGACCTTTCCATTAGGCTGTCCTGCTGTTGTGGAGTTGTTTCAGTCATGTACAACTCTTCATGAACCTCTTCGGGCCTAACAAATCTCCCCCAACATTTGTAATGGGATGAAATCTGGATAGAATGATCATTAAGGGCCTTGAGGAATTCCATTTAATCCTCATTCCTATTCCATTCAACATTTATGTAAATACCTACTCTGCAAAAGGGGTTGCAAAAGGGGAGGAAAAGAGAAAAATGTCCTCAAGGAGCTTACACTCTACTAGGGTAAAACAACATATACACACATAAGTTGCCATAAAAACATACATAAAGCAAATACAAACTAATTTCAGGGGGCAGGAAGTACTGACAATTGTGGAAATGAGAAAAGGCTCATTTTTGAGCTGGGTCTTGAATAAAGCAGGGGATTTTAAGAGACAGAAATGAGAAGTAAAGGAAAACTGACAGGATGGCCAAAATTTATGTTTGGAAGTAGTCCTGACCTTAGTTGGGTAATGGTGCAGGGATTTATGGGCAGAACGCATATTTCTATAAGTTTCTGGCATGCTCCTTCCTCCTCCTTGCTCCTCACTTCCCTGCTCCCCTCCCCCCAGCCCCTCCCCCCATTGCTGCTTTCCTGAATCATTGTTCAAAGTACCCTAGGCTCAGTATGGCTCTATGTAGGCACCATTTTCACTGGGTTCTCCCCCAGCTTTTGTCCTTGTTCTGCTGACACTTGTATCTACTTTTCTGGATTTTAGGAGCAGCACTCAGAACCCGGAAATGGTCCAGAATTTAAACTAAACTCCAAGGCCTTAAAGAGGTTTGTTGGTCCTTACCTAAATAAACCAACTACCCTGGACAATACCCCTCAGTCATCCCCAAAAGGGTCCACTGAGCTAGAGGCCTAGAGGGATCATTCCTGAAGGTTGAGCAATGTCATCTGCTCCCATGTAACGTTCACGGGCCATGGCCAGCATACTCCAATTCCATTTTCTGTTGTGTGTCTCATATTCCACACTTTTCCAGGTGAGGGAGGGTATGGGTGGGGTATAGGATGGAGGGAAGGTAGGGACAGATAAATGGGGGATAGGTAACATTTCTGAGATATCTGTGTTCCTTAGAACATCTCAATAGAGACTGTGTTTACTCCCTGCCCCTTCCCTCCAGGAAGTGTGAGTTTAATGTCACCACGAGAGAATGGGCAATTGTTGTGGGTGGCAGGGTGGGAGATGGCCATGAGACTTTATCCCATTTTATTTCACTAAATCTCAGAAGACAGCTGAATTTTCAGGTATTGAGTGCCCCCTCGTGGTGAGAGCCAGCTAGACATTGGTTTAGCCAAAAAAATTTTTATAAGAAAGAGGACCAAGAAACAATTAGTTACTGAGGCTAAAGAAAGAAGACATAGGAAGGAAGTGTGAGGGCCAGGAAGTGGGACCTATTGTAACTATTATTACTCATAGAGAGTTTTTGCTCCATTAAGCAAATATACACACACATATACACATACACATATGTATACTTATTTAAAACACCGTCCATTGTAGGGAGTTTGTGCCCAATGGACCCTCTGACTGATAGGCAGGGTTGGGAAGCTGAGAAGCAATCCACAAAGCTGCCTGTCGAAGCCATACTGAAAACATCTTGCCTCATAGGAAGGACCTGTGGTTTTGAGGATAATGATAAAAAAGCATATGACAGGGGCAGCTAGGTGGCGCAGTGGATAGAGCACTGGTCCTGGAGTCAGGAAGACCTGAGTTTAAATCCTGTCTCAGACACATAACACTTACTAGCTGTGTGACTCTGGGCAAGTCACTTAACCCCAATTGCCTCACCAAAAAAAAAAAAATGTATATGACTATAAAGGGGGGGGGGGGATAATGAGCATTTATGTAGCACCTATTATGTGATTCTCACAATAACTCTGCGAAGTAGATGCTATTATTATCCCCATTTTACAACTGAGGAAACTGAGGAAACTGAGGCAAATGGCAGCTAAATAACTTGCCCAGGGACACATAGCTAATAAGTGGCTGAGGCCAGATCTCAGCTTAGGTCTTCCAGACTCCAAGTGCAGTGTGCTATCCACTGAACCACCAGTTACCTACATAATACCACCTTCCCTTTGTCTGGGTCTTTAATTTTCAAAGCACAATTCCATGTGCTGTCTCATTTGATTCTTACAACTCTGTGAGGTTGATGTTATACATGTTATTTTTATTACTATTTTACTGATGAGTAAATAAAATCGGATTGGGAAAACTAAGGGATTTGCCCTGGATCACACAGCAGAGAAGTGATCCGGTAACCTAGATGAAGATTCCAGGTCTTCTGACCCCTAGTCAGTGAGGTGCTGGAGTGAGCTTTTACTAGCTCCTGATAGCTAAATTTTCCTGATAGTTAAATTTTCAGTGTAAGCATTTACACTTCAGAAATTGGCAAATGCTATAAATCAGAGCTTATTTTTTTTTGTTTTGTTGATTGTCAAGACTTACTTAAGAAAGTGATAGAAAAATATAAATGATTTGGATAAAACTTAAAAGGGTCATGTATACATTTTTTCCCTTGGAGAGTTGGTTATTAAACATCTACCAGCACACCCCTATCCCTACCTCATTGTACTCAGTGTGCTGCCATCCTCTTCTTGTTTGTTTTTGACCGTGTGTTTTTGGAAGAGACTCTGTGAGTGTGAATGAGTGTACATTTGGAAAACTGTGGGGTCTTCTCTGGAGTGTGCAGGAAATCACTCGAAAATAATCTCCCAACCGAACTCCAGATCACCAGACGAGCTCTCCTTGGAGTGAGTTACATGGGACTTCCACTCAATCTGTTTTTTTTTTCACAGCTCTTGGCTATGCCCCCTGCCTCACACAACAACAAGGAAGATAGAATGGAGTCATGGAGGGTCGGAAGAGAGGCTTCCTCACCCAACATTCAGGAACTGTGACTTCTCTAGTCCTTGTTCTATTAATAACTAGTTGTGTGCTCTTGGGCAAATCACCTCACCTCACCTGTAAAGTGACGGCTTGGTTTAGATTTCTGAGGTCCCTTCCAGCTCCAAAATACTGCGATTCTTTTTTTTTTTAAGGGCAATTGGGGTTAAATGACTTGCCCAGGGTCACACAGCTAGTGTCAAGTGTTTGATCTGAGGCCGGATTTGAACTAAGGTCCTCCTGACTTCACGGCTGGTGCTCTATCCACTGGACTACCTAGCTGCCCCCAAAATACTGAGATTCTAAGTGTAAAATGTCATGTCAGTTTAGGGTGTTAGTGCAGCAAATCCTGGGTCTGATGGGTCAAACTCAGATTCATCTAAAAAGACATCCAGACTGTCTGAAGAATGGATTAGAAGGGTCCTTCTCACTTGGTAGTTTCATAGCAAAAATTCTCTCTCTCTCTCTCTCTCTCTCTCTCTCTCTCTCTCTCTCTCTCTCTCTCTCTCTCTCTCTCTCTCTCTCTCTCCCTCCCTCTGAATAGCTCTTTGCTTAGCAAACTGCCCAGACCTGCCCTCATTTCCCTTCTCCTTTTTTCCACAGACCACCGTTGTCCCTGAAAAAAAAGTGGCACCTGTTTAGAATGGCCCCTGAGAACCTGAAGACATACCAAACATTCTCTTCTGGGGAAAGGGTCTCCACAAAAGATAGAAATATGAGAGATTGTTACTTTGAGTTCAGAGCCTGAGGCCAGCTAACTGAAACCAGTGAGATCTTGGTGCCAGGGACCCGGATAGTCTGGTTCATAATAAAATGTTTATAACAGTTTCTCCTTCCTCTCTTCCATGCCAATGGGATTTCTTGGCAGGAGCATCGTGGGTCTCTTAGCCATTCACAGGTTAGGTATGACCTGAGCTGCTTGCAACAGGGTTCCAGGATGCCCTCATCAAGTCCTATCTGGAATGTTATATTTGGTTGTGGACAGAGGGACACTGATGACCTAAAGCAGATCTAGAGAACAGCAACTAGGATGCTGAAGGGTCTGGAAGCTGTGCCATATGATGATCAGTTGAAGAAATTGGTAGGAGGTGGGGTTAGCTTGGAGAAGCTAAGTGGAAGGACACATATACTACCTATCTTCATCTATTTAAAGGGTTATCTTGCAGAAGAGGCATTCGACTTATTCTATGTGGTTCCAAAAGGCAGAAATGGGACCAACTGGTCAAAGAGAGATGGTTTAAATTTCAGCTCAATGCAAGGAAGACCGTCCTAATGCTGGCAGCAGGGTAGGAATGGAATGAGCTGCCTTATTGGATAGTGAATTCCACATAACTGAAAGTGTTTAAGCAAAGGCTATATGATTAATTGATAGGGATTTCATAGAATAGAATTTCTGTTTGGGTAGGAATTTTATAGAATGGAATTTCTATATTGACTTTTAAGGTCTTTTTCCTATCTTACTGTTTCAAGACATGGTATGGTAGAAAACACATGAGACTGAGAATCGGAGCACTGGGTACAATGGAAAGAACACTGGCCCTGGTGTTGGATAAGCTGGGTCAAATCCTGCCTCTGACATTTATTACTTGTTTGACCTTAGGCAAGTCACTTAACTACTTTGGACTTCACTTTCCTTATCTGTAGAAAAAAGGTGGAGGGGGCGAAGACTAGATAGTACCTAAGGTCCCTTCTGCCTGTAACATTCTAGGAAGGTACAGAACAAATAAAAAAATGCATTGATTTCCTCCTGATGCTCTGGGATCCTTCCACTGAGCCTGTGTGGGGCAGAGAAGAATCCCTGGGAGGGCTAGGGTTCTAAACTTCCATTGGCAGATTACTCACACCCAAAAGAGCCCTTCCATTTGCTTCAGCACCAGATCAAACAGATACTCTAGAATTAGATAATAGAATTTAAGAGTGGAGAGGGACTAGTAGGGAAGCTTTCTTAGCCACTAGTTATACCTTAAGTGTAGAAGAAGTAGATCATACAATTAGGGAAATGTTCATGGTTTCCCAGTGCAAATGAAAGGATTAGGCCATTGCCTAGAGATAAGTGTGTGGGGAGTGGGAAGGGAAGGGAGATGGAAAGTGAGTAGTAGTGGGAGAAGAATCTGTATTTTACCAGCCTGTTGTTATAGTCCATCAGCATTTGACCATACAGGCATTTAGTATGTAGAACCTTGTCTAAATCAATTGCGATGAGCAGGCGAAAGGTGTATATATCCCCAGAACCAGAACCACTATGGGGTAACTGGTGTTTTAACTCTGGGTGCCAACATTTTTAGACCTCAAAATCACCATGAGCAGTCCTCCGGCAGTTAAAAGACATTATAGTAACTCAACCCCACCTCTCAACTGAATTGGTTTTGATTGCTTCTTGTGTAATTTGCAAATCATGAATTACATAGCTGACTATGAGGGCCATCTTGTACTATGCACCCAGGTGCCTTTCTTGCTACTTACTTCTGGGGGTAGGCTGAGAGAGTGGGAGACTGGGGCAAAATTGTTAGTTACAGTTCTGAATATCCAAGAACCCATATGCATACTGAAGAATGCTCTTTTCCTCGGAACTCCTCCTGGGCTCCTAAGAGAGGTCTGGGGCTAAGTTAGGGACCAACCTACATCCCCAGGATGTCCTTGGCAGCTCAGAGCAGGCCAGCAACCTGGTAAACCTGGTGAACAGAACCTTCCTGTGAAATGCTGATTTTCCTATCTGTGTCAGCTCCATGCTCGACACAACTGTGAGGTGGGGGAATTTGAATGGAAAAAGAAAAACTGGGGAAGAAAAAGCTGTTGCTACTTATCACACTAAGTGCATTTTCTCTAATACATGAATAAACTGGTGCCCTGCTTTACCAGTCAGTCTCTTGTGAGAATTTTTTATTATGAATCAATCGTACTAGGTGTAGAGGTGGGGAAGCTGTGGCCTGGAGGCCACATGTGGCCCTCTATGTCCTCAAATGAGGCGCTTTGACTGAATCTAAACTTCACAGAACAAATCCCTTTAATAAAAGGATTTGTTCTGTAAAACTTGGACTCAGTCAAAAGGCCGCACCCAAGGACCTAGAAGGCCACATGTGGCCCGGAGGCAGCAGGTTCCCCACCTCTATAAAAAGGCAAGTCTTCTTGACTCCAAATGCAATGCTCTAGCCACCTTGCTGCCTTATATAAAACAGAACATCCGTCAATGTTAAGGATATGCAACCCCATGCAACAAGCTGTTACAAAACAACGGTGCTAGTAACTGATTGTCACAATTCCCTGCCTGAGAAGCAGAGTGGAGAGCAGCATTGATAACAGGGCCCTTGTGTGGGACCACCAAATGGAGGACTGCCCTGGAGAACCGTCACCCGGTGGTGACGTCCTGGTTGTCCTCCGTAGCCTTCGTCCTGCCTCTTGAAACCTGCCTTTGGAAGGGTTAAGGGACTGCCAGTCATTCACACAATCTGCATGAATTAATGTAACTAGAAAGCTTTTCTCCTAATACCTAACAAATGTGAGCCAGCCAAAGGCAGCTTTTGCTGAAGAGATAAGAAAGATTGCCTCTAAATTGCTCCTGTCATGGCCCCAGTGTTTTGTTCAAGTGCAATCTTAAATATACTTAAAGATAAAAATTGAAAGGTCATCCATCTTGAAGGTTGTCTAGCCCAACCCTGTCATTTTATAGGGAAATCTCATTTTGCTATCTTCCCTCTCCCATTCACACATGCATTTCCCCTAATCCATAGTAATATTTTCTTTTTAAAAAAATTATCTTTCTTTTGTATCACATTAATTTCTTTTAAAATATAATTTTATTGATATATCTTTTTATATAACTATAATTTTCCATAGTACCCCCTGCCATCTCAAATAATAAATGACATTTTGTTAAGAAAAAAAGGGGGGGGGAATCAGCAAAACTGACCAATGAATTGAAAAAGTCTGAAAATATGTGCGGTGTACAAGATTTGTGGACCTCCCACCTCTGTGAAGGGGTGGGGATATCTTGTATCTTCTTTTGACCCATGCTCATTCTTTATTATAATTTTGCAACATTCACTTTTGATTTTTGATTTTTTTTTTTGGTGTGGTTGTTCCATCTGCTTATATTGTTGTAGTCATTTTTGTATTCTATTGTATTGTGGAGCCAAGATGATGGAGAAAAAGCAAGGACTCACTTGAACTCTCCAAAATTCCCCTCCAAACAACTTTAAAATAACACCTTAAAATGAATTTTGGAGTGGCAGAGCCCACAAAAGGATGGGGACAAACTATTTTTCCATGACCATAGAAAATTAATATGGTGACAGGGAAGATCAAAATGCAAACTCAGAAGAAGAAAAAGTCAAAAGTGCTACATCCAAAGATTCAAAGAAAAATGTGAATTGTTCTCAGGCACAAGAATAAATCCTGGAAAAAGCTCAAAAAATTTTAAAATAAAATAAGAGAGGTAGAAGAAAAGTTGGAAAAGCAAATGAGAGTGATACAAGAAAATCACAAAAAAATGAGTCAACAGTTTGGTAAAAAAAAAAAAAAGGTACACATAAAAAAATACCAAAGAAAATATCTTAAAAAATAGAATAGACCAAATATAAAAGAGACACAAAAAATCCTCTGAAGAAAAGAACTCCTTAGGGACAAGTAGGTGGCACAGTGGGTAGGGCACCAGCCCTGAATTCAGGAAGACCTGAGTTCAAATCTGGCCTCAGACACATAATACTTACTAGCTGTGTGACCCCGGGCAAGTCACTTAACCCCATTGCCTAGCCAAAAAAAAAAAAAGAGAGGGCGAGAGAGAGAGAGAAAAGAACTCCTTAAAAAGCAGAATTGGCCAAATGGAAAAAGAGGTGCAAAAGTTCACAGAAGGAAATAGTTACTTAAAAATTAGACTTGGGGGGCATCAAGGAGGTACAGTAGATAGAGCTCTGGCCTTGGAGTAAGGAGGACCTGGGTCCAAATTCGGCCTCAGACACTTGAAATGTACTTGCTGTGTGACCCTGGGCAAGTCACTTAACCCCAATTGCCTCACCCAAAAAAAAATTAGAATTGCGCAAGTGGAAGCTAATTATTCCATGAGATATCAAGAAACAATAAAACAAAAT